AATTATATTTTTTATTAATAAATGCCGCTTTCGTCTTTCGGTACGGCATTTTTATTCAAACAATTAATAAAAATTAAATTTTTTATTAATAAATGCCGCTTTCGTCTTTCGGGACGGCATTTTTATTCAAACAATTAATAAAAATTAAATTTTTTATTAATAAATGCTGCGTCTGACTTTCGGGGCGGCATTTTAATATAAAAAATTAATAAAATCAATTTTTTTATTAATAAATGCCACATTCGACTTTCGGGGCGGCATTTTATTATTAAACATTAATTTTTTTTAATAATAAATGCCGCCTCTAACTTTCAGGATGGCATTTTGTTATTAAAAATTAATTTTATTAATTTTATATTAATAAATGTCGCCTCCGACTTTCGGGACGGCATTTTGTTATTAACAATTAATAAAAATTAATTTTTTAATAATAAATACCGTGTCTGACTTTCGGGCGGCATTTTATTATTAAAAATTAAATTTTTTAATAATAAATGCTGCGTCCAACTTTTGGGCGGCATTTTATTATTAAAAATTAAATTTTTTAATAATAAATGCCGTGTCTAACTTCAGGGCGGCATTTTTTATTTCAAATCCAACAAATCAGATTTGAATCCAAATCTGAATCCGTCGGATTGAATCAAATCAAAATCCGATTCTGATCCGGATCTGACAGATCGAATCAAATCAAAATCTGAATTCGAATCTGATTCGAATCTGATAAATCTGATTCGATCTGATCCATCAGATCCGGATCAGATTTGGATTGAATCAGATTTTTTGCAGAACACTACCATCTAGAGATATGTCGAATGATAAAGTATCATTGGAATGTCTTCCAATTTATTCATTTCTCTTTCTGAATGAAAAATGCTTTAGCTTATATAATGCTTATGACCGAAGTGAGGTAGAGGGTAAATTAGTTATCAAAATCGACCAAGATGGTGATCATGTTCCCAAATTTTCTGTTGCAGATGATATTTCAGAAGTATATGGCCTACCCGAGATTCATGAATGTATTAACGGCCAAAAACTTTTAAGAGTCGTGATTGACATAGATGCTTCATAAGCAAGAGTTACTGTAAAGTGGTTACATTTATGACCTGTTGTAAAGATTGAAACAGTTCATTTTCTGCGATCTTCAATAGTTGTCTGATTTGGAAAATTAAATTCTATCGAAGTTTCATTCATGTTACCGATCAAATTTCAAGGATAGTTGTATTCATTTCATTTATAAAGAATATATGATAAAAATTCTGCTGATCTTCATTATATTCTTCAGGTAATCTTTATGCAACTATAGTGCGTCAGCGGTTTACCAACAAATTATGAGACATAAATCCATCTACCCACTTATATGTAAATTTACATCTAAAAATATCAGGATATAAAGTATGATATTCTTGTTTGCTAGCCAAACTATGAGCTTTTGCACTAATTATATATCTGGTCACTATTTTTAATTGTCTTCTTAATTCACGAAACCATTCCAAAAGTTTCTCTTCAAGTTGAGGATATTTTGGCTGTGTATCTATATTAAGTCGTTGAACATATGAAGCTACATACATCAAAGCACTCTTTTTCTTCTTCCAGTTATGAACTTGTTTTGGTTTTATATTATATTTACTTGCTGTTGCTCGAACACTATGTCTATTTTTATTATAGAACATAACCATCAATTTTTCGCGAGCATTCCATTGTCGACGTTTTTTTTGTGTGATTTTTACTTGATATTCACGAAATTTCCCTTGCCATTTTTTAAGTATTAAAGGTTTTTTGATAATTTCTTAGGTTTAAAACTTCGCACATAATCTGCTTTGATTATCACACAAATTATTTAAGAGAAGCATCATAGGCAGTGGCTAAATAAAAAAATATTGAATTCTACTTCTAGAGATTTCTTGTTATTTATAACTCAATTCCTAAATTTCAATCTTGATAAAATGTAATGAATTTTTAATGATGCAAGTCATTAATTTCGCAATTATATTATTGACTACTCCTAATTTATTTATTATAGACATGTTAGCAGACAAAATAAAGCTGATGCCTGGCTAATTAATATAGAATGCAACGGAGAATTATATGATATAGAAGAGCATTAATTTTTTTTTGAAAGATGAAAAAAATTTTTAAGATTTGCGTAACAGTATCTTACAAGCCACCATTTACAATGATCACCATATATAATACCCCTCACATAGTATATCCTTCCAAATATAGTACCTGGTACCTTACACAGTACCCATGGGTACTATTTAATTTAAAAATAGAGTTCTTGAATAAGATCCTGGGTACTGTATACAGTGGACAACGGTATTAATCCTTGCTAATTTATTAATAAAATTGCATGAAATAAAGTTGCAGTTATGATCCAAAATCAGAAAACCTAGAGATCGAACTGAGGTCCAATATAATTTATTTTACACGATCTATTTATTGTATATTAATTGGTAATTCTTTTATAGTTCAAAATTTTTTCAGATATATTAAAGTCAAATACAAATTATTCATTCATACATTTGAAAAATGGGTTTGATAGTTATGAAAGTTAATATGAATGTTGTGGTTGTGATGGTTGTGTTTGAAGTATAAAATTTCTATTTATATTTGTTCAGATTCAACTTGCATGTTACCGATTTCTTCTTCTGTTATTTTTTATTTTCAAGTTTTTTGTCGCGTCATAAACTAATTTTATATTTAGTATTATATAATTATTTAAATCATAAATCAATCTTATTTTAATAGCTTAACTTTTCATATAGTTTCAATAGCCGAATCTCAGGACAGATTCATTTGATAAGATATAACAGTTAACATTTACTGTACTTAAAATCAAAAAAAAGTATTTCTTATATCATAAATTCAAGGTATAATACCGCAGTAATAAAAAGATGTCTATGACATTTAAATTGATTTAAATTATGAAAATCAAATTCAGATGATTTATGGTGTAGCAATGATCTGATTTTAATAAAATGATATATTTTGCGAAAAATGTTTTAGGCGAAACAATTTTGCAATAAAATAATTCCAAATTAAAGGTTTCGGATAATTCCGGACATATAGGGAGCATAGCGGTCATGCTTATATCATAATATCGATCATTTGCCGATCATATATATGAATTATCACATTATATTGACTAGATTTTAAGCTTCAGATAAAGCTATAGTTGTTCAAATAAATAGCAATAATTATTAAATTTAATAATTTAGATTA